CTCCCCGTCTCCTCCCTTGCTTTGTAAATCTCAGAGGAAGCAAAACGTGGGTTCTCCGCAGGAGGATCTCGCCTCTTCCCTTGGTTTTCAGTTAATTCCTGCCGCATCGGCAGACCAGGTTGTTCCCAGCGCTGCTGTAAAGTTTCCTTCGAGGCGATCGCTCTCTTGGCCCGATGCTGCAGTTTCCATGTTCCTTGTGCTCCCCTTGATTAAATAAAAGCATTAAGAAATTTTTCTCAGGCCACTTCTATTAATTTTCAACGCTTTATTGAAAATTTGGTTGCAGTCGGTACACGGACACTGAAAATACATGATCACAGGTTGTTCTCTCAAAAGATATTTTTATATATATAATATATACAAAAGTTGTAAACATTTTTAACTTATTCCATACACAGCCCACTTTATACTACAATGCACGTAAGGTTAGTGACAACTGCAACTCTTGGAAGCGGTCTGCCTGGACGGAGGTATCTGCAAAACAACAGAAATCTGCAAAACCACATTTGGTATCGGTTGGATATTAAAACTCTTAAAAGAATTCTGAGGTTGAAACACGTATTGCAACGAAATTGCAGGCAGCTGACCTCGGGTTTCAAGTTGGCGCAGCGAAGGCTGGTTCTGAGCCTCCCTGGGTGTGGGAGAGCATCCCCCGGCTGCCTTGGAAAGCACCGGGACCAAACCGGAGCAGCGGGGCTGGAGCCCAGCCCGCTTCGGGGAAAACATTCAGGGAAAACAAAGGCTGGAAGGAAACCTGCAACTATCTACAGCAGCTTTTATCGAGAGCGAAACTGATCCCACAAAAGCGAGGGTGTGATTTACTCGCGGACGGACACTGACCACGCTTCGTTTTGTTTCGGTGACCTCAAAGCTGCAGCGGGCAGGGCAGGGGAAGAGCCAACCCCGTGCTCATCTCGGGGGTTGGTTGTGGAGAGAGGAGGGTACAAACGGCCCCGGTGAGGCACTGCTGCTCCACAGGAGGAGGAAAGAAAGGCTACGGGTGTCACCTGTAGCGTGAACTGATGGGAAACTTGTCCTGCAAAGTGTGCAGGCAGAACAGCCAGTGACATCCCAACTGACCAAAACTTCCACCTCGCTAGAAATAGCTTAAAATATTGGGGGAGGATGGCAATTCTTTCAAATTTTTTAATGTGCTTAAAATAAATAGGCAAAACCCGTGATAAGGTTAACTTCAGTGCTGAGAAATGTGCGTGTAGTCGTAACAGAGCCGCCTGGAGCGCGGTGATTTGGCAGGATCCGTCTCCAGGGAAGATACAGGATTGTTCGAATTCTACTCTTGACACCCAAATTCAGTGCTGACGCTACACGGAAGCTTTCGGTTGAGAGTAGCACGACTGTGCCCCCTGCAAGCTCGAGCTGGCTGCTGAGATATCTTGAGAGGAGAGAGGATCTGCCCAGGGGGTTGCGGGGACAGCAGCGGCACAAACTCACTGCCCGAGCCTGGCGAGCTCCGGGGAGGAGCTTTGGGTGCTGCTGCTGCTGCAGGGAGAAAACATGCCGGGGATAAAAGCACAGAGGAGGATGCTATGAATACCTGCACCCCAAATAATCCACTACAGCTGTTACACCGAGGGAACTAACTCTCTAACCAGAAGCCCGTAAGGTTACGCTGAGTTACAGTCCGTGCCTGCAGGCACCGATGGGCTGCGGCAAGTGAATGGCCGGCACCGCTGACACTGAGGGGCTGGCAAAGAGGATGGCCCAGGCCAGGGGCCGGTGTCTTGCCCTGTCCCCCCACAGTGATGGCACTTTGGCCTCACCATGAAACTAGAAAAAAAGGTTTTTGCTTGAGGTGGTCAAACGCTCTTTCTTAAGCATCGTGATACCACATTAATTACGGCTTGTCCTGTCCTGCCTGGCTGACACAGCCCCGGTGGGGCAACTACGCACACAAACCCGCCGCTATCGCCCCAAAATCCCACCCCAGCTGCGGGCTGCCTGCCCCTGCCTGCGGAGCTGCTCCTGCCCCGTGCCTCCCTGGTGGGG